AAAAAAAAAAAAGAGTAGGACAGCTCTCTCAGACTGAGGCAGCCACTGCTAATGACCTGGGGTTCCATCAGCGACTCTGAGCTGATGAAGTCTAAAGTGAAAAGGGTTGGAAGGCACAGTGAGTATTTGGAATTGCAAACTTAATGTACACCAAGAGCATTGCCTGTGCTGGTCAAATTAGTGACCAGAGCAATGCAGTGTATCGCTGTGTAAATGAATGACCTGTTTTTCCAAGAGTCAAACCTGTTAAGTACCACCAGGAGAATAGCAGGTGGGGTTCCAGGTAAAGGACCACAAGACTTTTTTTTATCTGGCAGAACTGGCAGAAATGCCATTGATGGAAGAGCCACGATCACATGAAGAGACCAGAAGTCTTTGAAGGCTAAGAGATTTTTAATTTTTATATTTCTTCTTAGATGCATTAAACTATGCATTGAAATTTTATTTGAATTCAACTATGTACAGAGGTTTTAATTAAAACAAGAGTTCACCTATCATTTCTGTTCTCCATCCCTGAGTTCCACTTCTCAACATGAACCCTTTTTGCTGTTTCTTCTGATATTCCTCTCCATTTGCCTAAATAACAGAATAGTGTCATTTCTTGATTGAAAAGTTTTAGACTTTATGGTTTGATTTCTTATTACAGACAATAAATATTTACAACCATTCCTCCTGCACCCCTCCCTCAGGTGTACATGTTTCCTTCCTATATCATTCTAATATAGTTGTTTTGCTACTTTTGGTTAAGTCAATATTCAGTATTTACATTATTGTTACTACATAGATGTCATCAACTGCTAAGCCACTTGATATAATAAAGTGGCTTTCCTATACTTGTACAATTTTTGCATTTTTTGTCTTTTCTGAAGTTAATAATTCCTTTTAATTCATTTATTTATGCATTATTAACTCATAAAAATCTATGAAAGAACTGACCAAACACATCAAATAAGCTATTTTTTCTTTGATTTTTTTATATTTCTCCAGGAACTTTCAATTTTCTTTTTCAAATCTTGCCTGTCAATTGCCAGATCTTCTGGGATTTCTTCACAGCCATCTTCTCCTTTTTTGTCTTGGATTTCACATTGCTTTCATGTTTTCTGCATTTTTGATGCACTCCCTAATTCTGTTGGAGTGCATTCTCCAGTAGCTTTCTGAGAAAGGTGGCATAAGAGATTGATGTTTTGAAGCATTGCATATCTGAAGATATCTCTATTCCATCTTCTCAGCCATTAATACTTTGGCTATGGGATTCTGGGTTGTATGTTATTTTTTCACTATCTCCTATTTTAGCTCTCAGCATTGCTGCTAAGAAGTCTCATACTGTTCTGATTACTGATCCTTGGTAAATAACTTTTTTTTTTTTTGGTCTCTCTGGAGCTTTTGCAAGCTTTGCTTTCTTTTTCCTTCCTTCCTTCCTTCCTTCCCTCCCCCTTCCTTTCTTTCTCTCTCTTTCTTTTTTCCATTCCTGGTGTTCTTGCTGAGACCTTTAGATCTGAAATCACAGACACATGTTCTTAAGATCTAGAAAATGGAAAACTTACTTGTATTTTGCATTCATTAATTTCCTCTGTGATTCTTTTTAACGATTATTTTTCTAGAACCCCTATAAATTGGATGTTGACCTCCCAGACTGATCCTTTTCTGACCCCGCCCCCACATTTGTTTTTCTTTTGGCTCTACTTTCTGAGTCAATTCTTCAACTTTATTTTACAATATTCTTATTGGTTATTTATATTTCTCCTCTCATATTTTTAAGTTCCAAAAGCACTTTCCCATTATCTGAATGTTTTCCATTTATGTTATCCCATCCTTATTACATGGCTGTAAACTCATTTCTTACCTCTGTGGGAATATTAATTGAAGAGTTTTCTGTTAGTCTTTTTTTTTTTTTTGCCTCTTCTTTTATGTTAGAGTTTTTTTTTTTTTCCAGTGTCAGGTTTTTCTTTATATGAAAGAGATAAGATGTGCACCTGTTTCTAGAAGTACAGAAGATTATTCTAAAATTTCCTCTTAATTAAAATAAACTTTGAAAATAATTATATAAAATTTTAATTAAATGCTTTTTAGGCCTGCACAAAAGAAAGAGACCAAAAACAAAGTGGAGGAACCCTTGAAGTTAAGACACACCCAAGCATGCCTTTATTCTGAGGAATTCTAAAGAGAGAGACTGAATGAGACTGTTGGGTTGGATGGGAGGCTGAAGAGTAATTCCAGCCTTACCACTCTTTGGACACACCTTTAAATATATTTTATGTCATTTCTCACTGCCTTAACTTTGACTTCGGCATATATAAAGTTTTTACTTTTCCCCAAATTTTACCATTGTATAAGGCTATGAAAAGCAGATGGATGGAGTGAAGATTAAGGAAGAGGGGCAAATACCAATAGAATTCTTGATGGATGGAGTTTTGGAGGCTCTTGGTCTACTGGGAGCAAAGGAAAGCTTTCTACCACTTAGCAACAGAAATTTAGTGGAATAACAAACATTTCTTTTACTTTCCTCCCACCCAAAACTCTTCTTAGGGGTAAATTGAGCTAGATTTTCCATAGGTGATAACTTCTTTCATTTTCCAACTTGAATATGTCATGTTTCAATATTGATTTTTGTTTTGTTTTGTTGTTGTAAGGTAATAAGCATGAGATATTTCTTTATGCAATATCAAATCTCCTGTTTGACACTTATTCTGACCTTTCTTAGTAACTGAATCATTTATATTTCCCAATTGGGAAAGCATGGCTAAAGCAGAAAGATTTTCTTTCTCCATATTAATCACAGGTCCTTATTTCATTTCCCTTTCATTGTTTTTCTTTTAAACGAAATTTAAAATCTATTATTTCACAAAGTAGCCAAGAAAAAGAGAAATTATCCCTCATCCTTTGAGTGTAAAAGAACAGTAATAATCTAATATCGAGAGCCTTTAGGGTAATGCCTAGCTTAAAAGTACTTCAGAAACACAGTATTAGAAAAGAGGAAACATATGTCTCAGCAAGCAGGTGGCCGTACAAGAAAAGAATCTCTATAATGGCTGGTCTGCATTTCTGGAAGCCAGAAATTCTGCACAAACACAGCCTTAATATAACCATAACAGACAGTAGGGTATGACTTAACGATTGAGCAATAAATAACAAAGAAAAAAAATTAAGTTGCAGGTGTTACATGGCGAAGTGTGAAACGGAAGTCCTGAACTATGGAGCAGAACTTAGCCAAGTAACTTTAGCACTTCTGCAGGACTGTAAAATCTCTGGATTGAACTGAAAGCTTTTAAAGAAAAGAAATTATATATATATATATATATATATATGTAAATAAAATAGTCGATATCTATATATCTATATATCTATATATAACATGTTTTATTCATATGTACTCTATTGTGGCAGAAGTTGTTTCTAATTGGCTGATTATCACTCATTCAGTGATTTACTTTAAAACCTTAATCGAGTGCCCATTCTGTGCCAGGTCTTAAACTAGGCATAGTGGATGTAGAGATGTCCCAAAGTTCATAGTCTAGTAGTGGAGACAAACAGCAACTTTCTAATTAGCATGACAGGATGATGAGTTCTGTGGTGAAGGGAAGCAAAGGGTGCTGCTTAAGGAGGGCCACCTAAGCCAGCCTAGAAGACTTCCAGAGGGAGCTGATATGAGGCCACATGAGAGTGGAAGTCTAGGACGGTACTTCTAGGGAGGGGAAGAAGCATAAATAAAAGTATGAGAGACTTGGCTCAAATCAGCAATTTTGAGTTGAGTATATTGGTATATATGGTGCAAGGACTAAGCAGGTAGACTTAAATGAAATTATGAAAGGCGTTGCCTGAAGTCACTGTGAAGCCATTGCAGGATTTAGAATGATCAAACTGGTGGCAGGGTGGCATGTACGTTGAAGATGATTACAAGTGGACATTGGGAGACCAGATAAAAGGCTGTTATAGTAACAACGTGAGAACTAATAATGTCTCAAAGCAAGGTAATCCCAGTTGATATAAACAGATCCCCAAAATTTAAGAAATATTTTGAAAAGTAGGGTTAAGTGAAATTGATGACAAATTTGATGTGGAATAGGGGAGTTAGGGAAGATGATGAGTTAAAGATGATGTTCAAGTCTCTGATTTGAGCAATGGGTATGGGGGCTGCAATTTATATAGTTAGGATATTCTGAGAAAAGCAGCAGATCTGGAGGGAAACTAATGGGTTCACTTTGAGATGGGTTCTGTTTATGGTATCTTTTTTGGCATCCAAGTGGAAATTCCCACAAGTGGTTTTATATAAAAAGCTAGAGGTCAAGAGGGAGTTCTGGGCTTAGACATGTACAATAGGGAGTTATTGAATAGTGTTAGTAGTTGTTACCATTAGTATGGATGTATTAGCCAACAGGATTGGCCAAGAGATAAACCTAGAGACATGCTGACTATTAAGGAGCAGATAGAGAAAAAGTAGATTATGAAAGTGACTCAGAAGGACCAGCTGGTGAAGTCAGAGTATAACCTTATGAGAGTGGTCCACCAGAGTCAGAGGAGTTCAAAGAGCCTGGGTTACAGAGGTAATTGCTGTAATGTAGTCAAGTAAATTAAGGACTGAAAAGTTGAAAGAGTGATGATACAAATTGTCATCCCAAATAGAATAAGTCTGAGAGTAAAGGGACTGTGATGGTTGTTTTATGTGTCAATTTGACTGGACCATGCAGTGTCCAGGTATTTGGCTAAACATTATTTCTGCATGTGTCTGTGAGGGTGTTTCTAGATGAAATTAGCATTTGAATCATTAGACTGAATAAAGCAGATTGCCTTCACCAGTGGGGGTGGGCATCATCCAATCAGTTTAATCTGAATAGAACAAAAAGGCAGAGAAAGGGAGAATTCACTGTTTCTCCGCCTGACTACTTGAGTGGGAATTTTGGTTTCTCCAGCTCTCAGAGTGGGATTTACACCATTGGCACTCCTGGTTCTCAGGCCTTCGGACTTGGATTGGAATTCACACCATCAATTCTCTTGGTTCTCAGGCCTTCGGACTTGGAGTGGAACTACACAGCCAACTTTCCTGGGTCTCCAGCTTGCAGACAGCAGATATTCTCAGCCCCGATAATCATGTGAGTTAAATCCTTATAATAAATCCCTGCCTATATCATTCATCTCTATATCTATATCATCTCTATCTATTTATCTAACTGTCATCCATCTATCTGTCTATTTTATCAATCTGTCTACACATTTTGCTGGTTCTGTTTCTCTGGAGAGCCCTGACTAATTCAAGGGTTGTTATTGATAATTATGACAGGACCACAAATATAAACCAGACATTCTCCAGGCAAACCAGCATACTATGGTCATGCTACAGTTGGAAGAATTATTTCAATGAAATAGTTGGAGTGGTGGCTGTACATGGTAAGAGTAAAAGAGTGAAGTGAATGATAAGAAATTAAAGTACCTGTGAAGAGAATATTTTTTTTGAACTAGCTTCTATTTAAAGGGGAGGGACTGAATGGGAGTTAGAGAGGGTTAGGGGGTTAAAAGAAAACGTTTTACCTGGCAGAGGCTTGAGTAAACCTGTATGCAAAAAAAGAACATGCCAATGAAGAGGGAGAAGTCAGAGAATTTACCACAAGAGAGAATACATGATTGAACCACTGTTGTATGGGAGCTGGAGGATATGGCAGGATTTGCTTTCGAAAGGAGGGTAGAATATCTTTTCTAGAAAGACAGGAGAAAAAATAAACAGAAAGCAAATATAGCAAATGTATGGGTGGGTGAGTGTGAGGTTGGCCAAGTTTGCACCTGATGGTCTCTGTATTTTTTTCTGTAAAGCATGCCAGGAGGCCTGATGCTGAGCGTGGAGGATAGGATTACAGAATAGGGAGCGCAGAAGCAACAGGTAAGGCTGTGTGGTTATTCTGGAGAGTGAGAGACAAACTGATTAGGAGCACCACAGGATTTTCAGGCAATATTATGGGCCAACTGGACACTGTTAACTTGCAGGGACATGGACCTACAGTTTCATGTTTTATGCTCCCCCACCCATTTTAAGTAGTAAGGATTGTGGCATTGGTACAACAAATTTATGCACAAAGTTGTGATTCAAGTTCTGGATTATTGTCCCCATGGGAAATGGGGACAGGAGAAGGCTGACTGATGGGAAAGAATGGGGAAGTCAATAAACATCAGGTCTCACTGAAGTTAGGAAACAAAGATGTTTTTAGAAACACAATAGCTAGAAGGATTGGAAGCCGTGTGGAGAACGTGGACATAGAACTTTAAGATTTCAGAGGTGTGTTAGCTCTGGGTGATGGTCAAGTCCCGGCTGGGGCCATGGGTGCCTGTCTGCGGTGGAGATGAGATATGTTCTGGAGTTGATGTTGGCTAATTCAGCCACATGGGTGTAGAAATCACTAAAAACTATGATACAACTTAGAGCAGAGAGAGGAAAACCTTAAACCAAATAGCGGTGAGATGACTGATGTAAACAAAAATATGGGGATGATGTGGGTGATCTAGCTAGACATTTTTGCAAGAAATTAGAGAAGACAAGGTTTGGTGTGGCCCTGTGGACTCGAAACTGCACGTGCTGCCTTTCAGTGTAATTCTTCAGTGGGCTTCTAGGTGTGTGGTATCATCTGACAGAGATTTTCACCCAGACACTGAGGTCGAGGAAACATTCTGTGAAGAGGAGAGTGGAAGGGTTTGCAAGAATAAGAGGAGCAATCATGAGAAAGGAAGAAAGGGACCAGCTGGGCCCTACAATAACCAAGACAACAGTATAACTGAGAGGTCAGTCTGCATTTTGGGAGGTGTGCAAGGAAAGAGGCATTCATTTGTCAAAGCTTCTACCTTGTTATATCCTTCTGAGCACTGGAAATGTATGTGTAGAGCATGGGCTGTAAACTCCAAGACAGCAGAAACTGTAGTGTTTGGTATTGAAGGAAGGAATGAGTGCATCCTGGGAGTGAGACAGGTTGGGGCAATGGTTAAGGGCATGAGCTCTTAAATCAGAGAGCTCTGAGTCGGGATCCTGGCTGGGGAATCTTGGGCAAGTTGTTTAACTTCTTTAAATTGCGCCTTCCTCATCTATACATTATAGGTTATGTTAGCATCTATACTTCAGAATTTCTGGAAGCACCCGGCACCTGGATGGCACCAAGCAAATGGCAACTGTTGCTGCCACGACTGCTTTGAACTGTTTTATGTGTTGGGATGATACCTGGTTGGACAGTAATTTGTAGCTAGAGCTCCGAGGTGTTTTGTTTTGGTCTTGGTTTTGGTTTTTTGGTTTTGTTTTAACCAGGCTTTTAACTCCTTAGAAAGAGAGAATGCCTTCCTTGTTTTTACATAAAAACTGTAACATTTCTACCCAGTTACTTTACACAAGTGCTTTTTTGGTTATTAATATTTTTTTTGGTAAACCTTGGACACACTGAGCAGAACTACAAGGATGCTCTTTTTTATTCTGTGAATAGTACAAATATTTTACCTGTTTCAAATCTACTCGTATCCTGGAAAAAGGCAAAATATTGCAGGAGTGTGTGGCTGTGGTTTCCAGTTAGTTTGTACCTTTCCTGAATTTTCTTTGATTTTGTGAACTCTTGGGCTCTAGTGATAATTACTATCTACAGTATTCATTTTTTTCCCAGGAAAGTATACATGAGTTATGAATAAGAAATCTTTTTTTAAAGATTTTATTTATTTATTGGAGAGAGAGAGAGAGAGACAGCACAAGTGGGGTGGAGGGGTAGAGGGAGAGGGAGAAGCAGAGTCCATGCCGAGAAGGTAGCCCGATGTGGGGCTTGATCCCAGGACACTGAGATCAGGACCTGAGCCGAAGGCTCACGAGAGTACATTTTTTAATAATGCCACTGAGCCACCCAGGCACCCCATGAATAAGAAATCTTAACACAAAATTATTTTAAGCTATTTAATTAATAGGAAATATTATACTGTATCATATGTGCCCATGGAAAATTTGGGTGTGATCTGTATCAGCAAACCCACTTATCTTACCTAATCTGCCATTTTATTTCCCTGGGTTTGCATTGAGATCTTGTGTTTTAGTTGCATCTTGGCTTTTTTTTTTCCCCAGTTGACTCAAATTCCTTCTCTATTAGCCCTGAAAACATCTTTGTTGGGGATAAGTAGCATATTCCTTCTCCAAAACTCACTCTAATACCCTTAGAATGTACATGACTCATGGGAAACCTGGGAAAATCACTTCCAATCCTTTTACACTGATTCTGGTCCAGCCTACAGTTTCCTCATGCTCTGATCCTTTTGCTTTTTTTGCTTTAAAAATCCCCAGACTGCAAAATAGCTCCCACCCACTAAAACAACTTTCCTTGCAAGCCATCAAAATTCCCTCTGATCTTCCCAACTGGGGGAGGTGACTTGATTCCTTTCAATGTTGGAAACCACCCCAGTGTCACTAGCTCTCCCATTTCCCCCATACACCAGTGAACTCTGGAGCCTTTTCAAGACTTTGCTCCAACGCTCAAGATCAAGTCCAACCTCCAGTGGCAGATCCTTGATTTAAGCTGTGGGGTTTTCTGAAGAATTTAAGTATTCAACATGAATATTTTAAAGGAAAACTTGAGACATTTTTTTTTTCAGCAGAGCTATGGCCGTGAATCTCTCATATCTGCTCTTCTGGGTCCGTTTGTGCTACTGGACATGGACGCTTCCTGAAAGCCCACACAGTGCAGGGGGTCTGGACACGATGGCATGACAATGTTGCTTTGATGCTGAAGCTGGCCAAGGGGTCACTGGTTGGCTTACCCAGCAGGAGATTTTGCAAAAATTACCTTGATGAGAGTAAAGAAAAAAATTCCCATTTTTTTCCTCCCCTGGAAGCTGTAGTAAAAATGGATCAATAAATAATTTTGATTATTTTAATTAATTTTGATTAATTCATCCTAAAGAGAAAGGTAAGGTCATAGGTAGGGGAAGTTGCTGAAACCCTACTGAAGCAAATGCTGATATTGTTCTCAAGGTCAAAGACTAAAAATCAGTAAAATTAAATTTGGCTTGTCCCTCCTATGGCATGTGTTGAGAGTAGAGATTCAGGGAAGTTTAATCTCTTTTATACACAGATTGAGTTATGTAGTCATGAGTTTATGCAATACTAACTAGCTTTAATCCAATGAGAAATAACTTGATAGAATAAGACTATAATGCCTGGAACAACCAGAAAACCTGAAAAAAAAAAATGTTCATGCTATGTTGTGGGTCTAAAGAACACTGTAGTATTAAGCAGAATGAGATAAAAAAAAAAATTTTTTTTACCTCTTTTCTTTCTGCTGCTCAATTTGCTACTTAGCATCCTCTCAGTCATAAATGCTGAATAATCTGTGACGGAATTATAATCTAAATCAGGCTTATGTAACTGTACCTGTAAGTGCTAAACTTATTTGGAACTAAATGCAACTGAGGATTACGGGTTTGTTTTTTAAAAAATCTTTTTCCTGATTGAAAAATAAACTCATACACACATATCCACACACACATATATTCCTAAATTGATGATTAGATAAATATTTAGGTCTGTAATTATTAGATTGTTGTGTATGAGCAAAGAAATAAGAGAAATTTAAAGCACTGAAGTAGTTTTAATGAAAGCATAATATTTTATATATATTATTTCTTAAAAAATGTCTCATAAAGGAAGGGAAAGAGGAATGATGAAGCACACTTCTCTGAAGGTATTGGGGCACAGTTTTATCTGAAAAGCTCATGTGAATTTTATACTTTACTGTGTATTTATAGCTGTCTTAGACTTACTAAATGTATAATGTCTTTTTCTTTAAAGATTTATTTATTTATTTGAGAGAGAGAGACAACAGGAGGAAGGGCAGAGGGAGAAGGAGAGAACCCTCAAGCACATTCCCACTGAGTGTGGAGCCCAATGTGGGGCTGGATCCCAGGACCCTGAGATCATGACCTAGCCAAAATCAAGAGCTGGCTGCTTAACTGACTGAGCCACCCAGGAGCTCCATAATGTCTTATACTTACAATAACCTTTTAAGAGGAAGAAAAAATAATGCCAGTTTTTCCTCACCAAATCTTTGAATAACATGAATTTTCCAGAAAGATATGTTCGGTATCTATCCTATAGTTTTGTGTACCACTGGGCACACTGGAGTGTTGCCCTAATTCAAAGGATCAAAGCTCTGGCTGAACAGTGACATCACGAGAGTACATTTTTTAATAATGCCAATGCCCATGCCTCATTGAAGTCCAATGAAGTCAGCATCTCTAGGAAAGATTCTTAGCACTGATATTTTTAAAAATCTCCCCAGGTGAATCTAGCGGGTACCCAAGGGTGAGAACAACTGCTGTAGCTAGAGACTTCCTCCAGTTTGAGGACCATGGATGAGGTTACATTAGATACTATCTATCATTATACCTGAAGGCAGGTATCACATCATACCTCTCTTTGAACTTGTTTCCCTTATCACTAGGACCCTAGGATAGCTGCGGAGTACCATAGTGAACTGATTACAGGGAAGTGGAAACTCGGTCTGCAGTGAAACACTACACACTATGCCTAGTGTATAGCCCAATGGGATCCTGAAGATCAGCCTCCAAGCCACTGATTCTACAGCAGAGAAACAGAACTCCTCATTCTAAACAATTTGGGCATTGTTTCTGCTCCCCCCACCCCCACTGACGGTAACGTCCTCCATCTAAAAAAAATTTTAATTTGATAAATTCCAAAGTGTTGATTTTTGGAAGTATTTAATAATTATAATTTTATCAGTTTGACTTTTTAGAACCCCACTAATTTCTCCTACGATATTTTCAGTATTTGCTGAAGGATGACATCCCCCTTGCCTTAATCATGTGCCAGATTACTCGTAAACCTGGACCATATGCCACTGCAATTTGCTGATGGGCCCAAGC